TTTCATCCCCCTTTAGAACTCCTGGGTGATTCTGTGTTTGTGGAGCTACCCTCATCATTGGCCAGCATGGGAAAAAGAGGGGAAACCAAACTCCATAGTCTCTGTGGCCCCTCCAAGTGGTACCATGTAGGACCAAAGTCAGTCTCTGTCTAATACTGAAATGCCCTGATAATTCCCTGGGCTGAGATGCAAATACAGAGCTGCACTGCGGGAGGAAGCGCAGTGGACTTAAAATTCCTGTTCATTCATTCTTCCTGGTGTCTGTGTGTTAACCCCACGGCACTTTCCCTAAAGAACTGTGGCTTTATTCAGCTGGGAGGGGTTGACTGGGACTTTTCAGCCTGGAAAAGGGGGGGTATGATAGAGGTCTATAAAATCATGACAGGTATGGAGAGAGTGAATTAAGGAAAAGTTATTTACTTGCTCCCGTAACATAAGAACTAGGAGTCACCAAATTAAATAATAGGTAGCAAGTTTAAAACAAACAAAAAGAAGTTTATCTTCATGCAGCGTACAGTCAACCTGTGGAACTCCTTGCCAGAGGATGTTGTGAAGACCAGGTCTTTAACAGGGTTCAAACAAGAACTAGATAAATTCATGGAGGTTCGGTCCATCAATACTTATTAGCCAGAATGGATAGGAATGGTGTCCCTAGCCTGTTTGTCAATGGCTAGAAATGGATGACAGGAGAGGGATTACTTGATGATTACCTGCTCTGCTTACTCCCTCTGGGGCATCTGGCATTGGCCCTGTTGGAGGACAGGATTCTGGGCTAAATGGACCTTTGGTCTGACCGAGTATGGCCGTTCTTATGCAAGTGCTTTGGAGGATAATGTTATAATTCTAGCCGAAATGATCTGAAATAAAGAGGATGAAGTTCAATAAGGACAAATGCAAAGTGCTCCACTTAGGGAGGAACAATCCATTTCACACATAGAGAATGGGAAGCGACTGTCTAGGAAGGATCTAGTGGACCACAAGCTAAATATGAGTCAACAATGTGACACTGTGGCAAAAAAAAAAAGCAAACATGATTCAGGGCTTCATCAACAGGAGTGTTGTGAGCAAGACACGAGGAGTCATTCTTCCATTCTACTGTGTGCTAATTAGGCCTTAGCTGGAGTCTTTTGTCCAGTTCTGTGCACCACGTTTCAGAAAAGATGTGGAGGAATTGGAGGGGGTCCAGCGAAGAGTAACAAAAGCGATTAAGTCTAGAAAACATGAGCTATGAGGGAAGACTGAAAGAATTGGGCTTGTTTAGCCTGGAGAAAAGAAGATTGAGAGGGGACATGATAGCAGCTTTCAAGTACCTAAATGGGTGTTACAAGGAGGAGGGAGAAAAATTGTCCTCCTTGGCCTCTGAGGATAGGACAAGAAGCAATAGGCTGCAGCAAGGGCGGGTTAGGTTGGACATTAGGAAAAACTTCCTAACCGTCAGGATGATTAAACGCTGGAATAAATTGCCTAGGGAAATCTCCATCATTGGAGATAATTAAGTGCAGGTTAGACAGGTTTCTTCTGTCCACTCACTGAAGAAATCAATAATATGAATTACATGTTAGAACCCCCAGCATCTTTTGGCCATGAGCGAGTCTTGTACTGAAACAGGCCTGTTTTCAAATACAAATCCAGTCCTCTCAGTTTCACCGTGTCTGCGATGTTGTTGTCCTATTGGAAGTAAGTTAACGTCAGTTAATATTAGTAGCCGACATGGTCACTGTATCCGGACCAGCCTCTGAACCTTATTTTCTTGCATCTGAATACACCAAGACAGAACTAATGGCTCTGAGACGCAATGGAGGCGAGAGCTCATTCGCATGCATCTAGGTCACAGGTGCCACTGGGAAAAGACGTTTCTTACCTGTCTCCTCTTTGCAGCATCTGAAGTGTCAAATCAAGAAATTGTTAACAAACACACTCACATCAGACAAAACACGGAGGCCCAAAGCGCCGGTATCTGCCCTATCTCAGCAGCGGCTCTTTTACAGTTGAGGGGAAAAAAATCCTGAACTCCATTTAAAAAAAAAAAGCAGTTTGGACGGATGATTTCTCCCTCCCCCACCCCGTTCCCCTTTCTCTCTGTCTCTCTCCTCACAAAGAAGTGACCTTTTCCAGTCTCTTATCGGGAAGCTTCACTTAAAAGGGCCGCTGACGCCTCCTGAAAAGCGGTGAAAAGCCCTTCTCTTCAGAGACGATTCTGCTGCTCTTTTTTCTGGGCTTCTTTCTTCCCTTTTCCACTTTGAAAGCTCCACTTCTTTGGCTGACAAAAGGCTCTGTGTTCCTTATCCGGCCCTGCCACCGCCATCCGCTCTCCCTCTCCCTCCACAATCAGTGTTGTCTGTAGCGTCACGGCCGCCTGCACAGCAGTGAGTGAATGTTTCAGGCACGGGGAGATGCAGACGAGGGTTCAGGGAGATGTCTTCTGAGGTAGCCTGGAATTTGGAGTCCGCAAACCACCGCTGCTGAGGAAATGCCTGGGTGGAGTGAGATGGCCTCCGTGTTCTTGAAGCCACTGCCACGTGGGCTGTGTCTGCAGTCGGTCTGCTACGCCAGCTGATTGTCTGAGCCTGCCTGCTGGCCCAGAGCTCTGGCTACCTGGTAAGGGGTATGTGTCATAGCAGAGCAGCTTTGCCCTCATGAGGAAGATGTGTGGCGTTGCAGGACCACCCCTTACCCGCTCCGTCTGTGCTCTGTGCATGTGAAGCACTTGCATGACTTGTACTGCAGCAGTACCACGGAGCCCGAGTCATGGCCTAGGAGCCTATCATGCCCAAAGAACAACATGACCCTGTCCCTCACCCTCTCTGTAGAAACAACCAGGAGTCCTGTGGCACCTTGGGATATGTCTACACTACAGTGCTAATTCGAACTAACTTAGTTCGAATTAGTTAATTCGAACTAAGCTAATTCGAATTAGCGCAGCTACACTTAAAAGCTAGTTCGAATTAGCGTTTTGCTAATTTGAACTAGCATGTCCACACAGAGTGGACCCTGAACAGAGGTTAAGGCTGGCCGGAAGCAGTGCTGGCAGGGCATCAGATGAGGACTTAGAGCGTGGAGCTGCTGTCTCAGGCTAGCCGAGGGCTGTGCTTAAAGGGACCCGACCCCCACCCCGGACAG